GTGCAGGGTGGGGGCTGCCTGGTAGGAAGCAGACAGGGTCCCTGGGCTATGGCATCACCCTAGGGAAGAAGAGGTAAAGGTGGTACTTCAAGGAAACCTCAAACAACTTCTTTGAACAGCAAACTTTGCTGAGAACTCACTCACCAGTCCCCCACTGGTGTCAGGTATAACGCTACAAGTTTGATGTGAGCCAAGGGAAAGAAGAGGAGGAGAGCGAGAAAGATAATAGAGCAAATGGACAGACAGAGGGGAGACAAAGAAAAAAGACTGTATTTTTAAGTGTTCCTCCTCTGCACAGTTACTCTCCTGTACAAAGTTTATTTCCCAGGATCTGTTTTGCATTCAATTTCAGATAAGGAATTTGTCAAGACAATTCCTGTCACTTGTACAGTAACAAAAGAGATCAGAGAAGCCAAAAATCTCTAAAAAGAAGTTGAATCTCTAAGAGAAAGAGTTGCTAGGGTAGATCTGATGTAATCAGAAAGACAAACAACAAAGTTTAGGAAAGGTGGAGCTTTGGCAGTTGCTAAAAGAAAGCTTTCCACCAGCTCAGTGGGACTTCTCTTACTCCTGCCCTAGCCCCAGCCCCACCTTCCAACTAAGAACTACTTTTCCTAGGACTGTTTCAAGTTTAAGGTAATGCCTACTGCTGTCTTTCAGAAAAAAGAAAAAAAGGTGTATATCATTTTCATAACACGTCTCAAATCTAGAACAAACCATTTCTCAAGAGATCAATGGACAAACAGGTTCTCTAAGCTGAAAACCTGAAAGACAGGTAGCAGATGGGTCTGTTCTGACAAGTCCCTGGTTCGGTGAAGTGTGAGTTGTTTACAGAGGCAATGCGTTTCTGCACAAAGTAGTGTATTTTCTTGAGACGCGAGCTTCAGGGGTGCAGCGTTGCCACCATCCATGTCTCTGGCTGCTCGCACACATTCCTGTACTGCAATTCACACCCTACCAGCTGTGTTGCCAGACATGTCCTCAGCATCATGCTGTAAGCCAGAGGAGTGAAAGTAGTAACCAAGTCCAGGAACTGCTCACAGTGGCTTCACCTTAGAAGCCAGAAAATCCTGGAGTGCTCTCAGAAGCATGTTGTGCCCAGGCTGAATGCCTGGATCTGTACTGAACTGCAAGATGAGGGAAGATCTGTCAGGTTATGCTCATCCCATCTACTTCCAGTGAGAATCTAAACACTCGTTACAAAGTTTGAATAAAGACTATCTGAATTTAGCCTATATTTAACTCATGATAATGACAGCTGCTGCGTTCTGTAACTGTGCACTCTGCTTATGGAGTGCTTTCCTTTCTATCTTTAGATGCTTGCAGCCTCTGTGTGTACAGACCGAGCCAAAAGAATGGGGTTTGTACGGCTGTTTATTATAGAAATGGTCTCAGGTCATTCATCAGATCCCTCATGTATGTAAGATAACAATAATACTTTTACGGTTTTATGTCACCTTGGAATGCATATTTCATTTCTGTAGTGTCTGGAAAACTTTGCCAGGTGAAAGTTATCAACTTTTTAATTAGATTTTGAGTGTGTACATGGTTTTCTCAGATGGGCTGGGAGAACTGATTCATCACTGAACCCAGATATTCAATGCTTGTGACAAGTGCATATAGTGAATCTGGTGACCCTGTACATATCCATTTTCTGGGAAATCATACTTGTATGCATGTGAGAACAGACTAGTAGCCAGGCTCTGCCCCAGATTACTGAAGATGGGACATACAGGAATAATCAGTAGCTGAGTAGGTAGGGCTTGCGTGGGGGACACTTTGGTTTACCTCTCTGACCTGGTTGATGTTTATTTACTTGTACCAAACATGATTACTCCAGTAGGACAGATGGCATAGACTAGCCAAGTCATGGTGTTTGGGATACCTCCTCGTATCCGAGGCAGCGTCACTCTGCCAGTGCCTCCCGTTCTTGAAATGGTACATAAAAAGTTCCTGTTTTGACAAAGCATTATTTTGCAGTGAAATACTTCCAGCCCTACCTAGTCACAAATTAATAGTTGTTTTCCTGGTTATCTACACACCGAAATAGTGGCAATATTTTGGATTACAAGATGAGCAGTGCCATGTGTCCAGCTCCTCTGCTGAAATATTCTGTCAATACTCTGGAGGTAGTGTGTACTTGATAAGAGCAGATCTTTCTCCCCCTTTATGGAGTTCAAATTGTTCTTAAAATTCCCACAGAGTGCGTGGGCTGATCACTGCAATAGCTAAATGTGGCATTCTCTAATTCGTGCTGCTAATTAATGTAGGTTTGGTGGGGCTCCACACAAGTCATGTCAGAGGCAGCAGAAGTGCACTAGCACAATTCCTCTGGGAGGAATCCTCCTTTCATCTTTCCAGCTATGCCAGGGGATGCCAGGGGCAGGCTGTCCCTTGCATGGCATGGGCTCCATGCTCACAGTTACACTGTCGGATGGAGCAAGAGGCCTGTTAAGGAAATGCGTTGGGTGAAAAGACTGCTGTGCCAACAGAGAAACCTTCCTCTCTTTCCCACATACTGCCTCTTACCTAGCTTCAAAAATGATCCTAACCACAATGCAAGATCAAGTTGCCTTCATATCCCATCCACCTGTACAGACGACGGCAAAGTTGCAAGGATTTCAGGAACTCTTGGCTGCCCTGACACCAGCCGCATAAGATCCCTAAGGGTGAACGGGATAAACAGAGGCAACTGGAGACAGACAGAAGCAGAGTGTTGAGGCATATGCACATGGAAACTTGATATATTATAATGTTATATTAACTATTCTCCTAATTTTTATGTCCTCTCTTTAAAGGTTGTAGCAGCTTGCTTTACACCCACAAACATGCTGAATTTGAGTTCATTATGGAGACACTTACAAAGTAAGAAACAAGAGTTAAACATTGAACTAAATTTTGTTCACTGCTCAGGATTAAATCAAGAACTGTTACTCCACTTGTGGATTCATCTGATTAGGTCCAAACATTTATGGAGCCTAACAATGTAAACACAATGTGATAATAAATTACATTATAATGTAATTTAAATTATAAATTATAATGATAATTATATCCTGCATTAGCTAACAATATAAAGTATATAGCATGTATATTAATGATCATATATAATATATCAAATGTTATGTAAATAATCATATAGAGTGAAACCACTGATATTAAGACTAGTTACTAAGATGCATGTAAATTGTAAACTCTGTCAGGAATCTTTCAAATAGCTGAACCTCATTACTAGGAATATTGAAGGAAATTATGTATAATCTCATCCACCAAATCACAAAAGAACAGATATAATGGATTTATGAGAATCAAAATAAAAGAAATAAACATACATCTTGACTAAACAAGGGGACCACAGATCTCTAAATTGCTTTGGAAGCTGACAAAACACCAAGGAGGAAAAGAAATAGTTTAGAAGGTTATAAACAACAAGCAACTGCATTAACTCAAGAAAAGGAAGGAGTACTTTGAATAACAAAAGAACTCCCATTATGTGCCAAAGGGCTATATTCTGTATGAAACATTAGTATCAGCATTCATCTGTGAATCTTAAAATACTTCAAGTAGAGCATGTATTATTTTATTCATAAACTATCATGCTGACAGTTTAATGGTCTTGTCCACGTCACCCAGAAAGCCAATACTATAGCTGACAATTAATCAAAGATTTTCTGACTCTCAAGTCAGAAAATCACTTCGAGATTGTAGTTTTTCTTGGGCAGAAGCAGGCTGGAAGGTTCAGAGATTCCTTTGAAGTGAAGCAGGTATAATAAGAAGCTAGGTAAAAAAGAAATTAGGGATCTTGGCTACTTCTATTTTTGCAGGCCCAACCTGAGCCACCTTTCAATAACCTTATTTTCATTTCATGAAAATGTAGGCCACTTTCAAGTGCTCTCCAGTCAGGCATGTACATGCTTACTCACCCATAATCACTAGTCACCTTTTTCCACATTTAGCCTGAGAAATACTCCTTATGGCTGGTTTGGGACACTTCACAGTAATTTAATCAAAAGGGAAATTGCTCATACTCCAGTCTAATACTCAATTACTTCCTTTCAAAAACAGTTACAAGTAATTTGGTCTCATCTGTGGGAATGTTTTAGAAATAGATGCCTATTAAACTAACCAGCTTGGACAGCTTCTCATCCACTCCATCCCTAGAAAGACTTACCTCCAGTTACACTGCCTCCAAGGGAGGCATCACACAGGTCACTTCTAGAAGTTCTGCTTCAAAGAGAGAATCCCTGAAGTGAACCATCAGCAAATTAGCAAAACACCGTTTGCCAAGTCTGCGGCTCTGCTTGCGAAAGAATTGCTTACGGTGATACAGACTCAAAAATAGAGGGTACTGGCAACATGAAGGGAAATTACATATGAGAAAGTCTATACAGAAATCTAGTGTAGGATGTATCCATGGTAGGCAGGGCAGGTAAATACCATGAAGATGATTCCAGTCAGTGGCATTATGCCAGTTTTTGCAGCTGCAGATCTACTCCAACGCATCTGTCCTCTTGCAGTGAAAGCATATCACTCAGTCATCTCTCTTCCCAAGTTCACATTCACTCCAGTAACCCTGCTTTCCAAGTCTTTTAGGCTTTATTAGTAATACAGTCAGGACCTACTCTGCATCCCTGTTCCTCCAGAAGTTACACTACATTCTCTCTGTTTTCAGTGAACGTGTGTACGTATCTGAAGCAACCTGTGGTGTTTTGAAGGCTGTTTTACCACCAGCCCTTGTAAGGAACCTAGCTTAGGAGATACATTCCCCAGAGAGAGCCTCAAGAAGGAAACTCAGAGCCTGATCCACAACCCCTGCATCACCATCTAGAGAAGTCTATTTCTCTCCACTGATTACAGAGGCCCCTAAGGATGTTAAGCATCATCTCAACTAGTCATGTAAATATTTCATGGTGCACTACATGTAAAAAACCCTGCAGGTAATAGCAACAGAATTAAAAGCAAGTTATACAAGACAAGCAAAAAACTGACAGTGAACTTACTCTGAAAACTTTTTCCACCCTTGCGATACCCTTCCCAAAGATGGTTCCAAGTTGGTCTCCAATCCCAGCCAGCAAGAAGCCAAACAGTGGAATGCCAAAGATGGCATACAAGATGCAGAAAACCTTGCCTCCAACAGTGCTTGGGGCAATGTTCCCATATCCTGAGGAGAAAAACAATTGTCAGACTCTCAGAACTTATACATGGCTTTTTAAAAAACACAACGGGTTTAGAAAAACTGCTGTTCCTGCAGGCATACCTTTGTTCCACATGTAATTCCTATTTACAGACTTTCCATGGCATGATGTCATTTCCCAGGCGAGATACCCCCTGTGATTTAGTTCTTCTTGTAGCCTCAGTTACCCATATTTTCTATAGATTCAGGTCCTATCTAAAGTTGATGTTTGATTAATTAATCTAGCTTGACTTATCACGGCACAAAAATCCCTCCATGCTGGCCTGGTGCCTGCGCGCTGCTGCTCCTCCTCTTGGGCTGTGCCAATGACTTCCTGATGGGAGTGTGATTCACCTGACAAGGCTCATTTTCAGTGGCTAGTTCATAATTTCCTCAGCCCCTCATCACACTGACTAGTTACACTGCGGCCTCCAAACTGTACCCACACTATGCAAATCTGTCCTTGAACTCTTTATTCAGTTCCCCTTTCAATTTGACAATAAAGAGCCTAACATTTGCATTTCATGAGGTTTTTTAGTAGCTTTTAACAAGGAAGTTTTTAAGCCTTTCCTCTGAAGACCCTACTTCATTTATATTTAAAAATCATTCTTGATGCTGTAATCAAGGTGCATACATGCCTTCCTTCCATCCTCTGTTAGGGTAACCTGGGGCTGTTGAAAAGATGACAGATTCTGACCAAGACATAATTATCCAGCTGCATATCCTGAGTGAAAACACTCATTTTTGCCTAAGCATGTTTGGGCACGTTTTGTTTCAATTCCCAGCCTTGTAACTTCAGATAAAATATCGGGAACATCTGATACTGGCAGAAAGGCAGCTCTCCACCTGTCCTATGCAGTAAACTACATGTAGTCACCACGGTTTGTTCAGGCACTTCTTCCCTTCCCCACACCACCCATGTGAATTTAACTTTAGGAATCTACATAGAGGATTATGACTCCAGTAGCCATGGTATTTCTGTTAAAATTTTAATGTTAAAGAGAAAAAACAGGAATTGTGGCAGTAATATTTGCATCTTCTTATTTAAGATCAGGTATCTTTATTGAAATGTTAGAGAGATTTGTATTCTGACTATTCATAATTATTTGAATATTAAAAATGATCACACAATCACAAATCACTGATGAAATAAAGTGGAAACACAGAGCACCCACAGAGATGGAGATCTAAGAGAGTATCATCTGCTTCATCTACAGCAATTCCTCCTGATCGTTGGGAATTAAGGCTAGGCTCCCAGGTCCTAATCCTGTTAGGTTTGTGACAATGGCACTGGGTATATCTCTCTGTCATGGGATGGTGAAAGGACTATGCTGACACACAACACTGCCTCCCCCCAACCCACAGTCCTTTTCATGGCTGCATCCATGATCCCAGATTTCTCCTAGAAGTCCAAGAAAATCCAGGCTCCACAGGCCAGTGGACTGAGGTTGACTAGGTAGTCTGCTGAGTGTCTGCCTAAGAGAAGCCTTAACAGGGCTCTGGTGGATTAAATTAAATCATTTTCATGCCCAGACACAATATGTAGACTTCATGCAGCCTATAAAAATCTCATTCATGGAGAATTTAAAGCAAATATGGGCAAAAATCCAAGCTCTTTTCAATAAGTTATTTAAATAGCAGATGTCAATGAATATGCCTACATAAACTATGCCTACATAGTGGCATTTATTTTAATGAGTAATTTAGAAGCTTGTCACTTGGGTCTATTGAGTAAACAAATGTTAAGGGAGGGTTTTCTTATATTTGATTCAGAAGTGTTTTCTTTCTCGACGCCCGCTGGTTTTATGCTACCATTAAAAATACATGGTAATGTAGCTTAGTATATAGAGGAACACAGGGAGGAGTGCACTCTGTACAATCACAATTTCACCCTCACTCTGACAACAAAGAAAAGGCAGAGCTAAAGGCACAGACTCCACTGTTTGAGATGATCACCACAGCAAGTCTTGTAACCGCCACAGGATTTTTTTTGTTGTATTACCTGCATAAAGAACTTGCAGAATTCAGTCAGATTCTCACACTTTTATGAAGGGTTATGTGGTTGTCAGATTATTTGTCTATACAGTCACCAGTGTGTGCATCACAGTTGTAATATGGAGAAGCACTTTATACAGTATTTAAATCAGAAGAATACTCAAAGGCAATGCAAATAAAAAGCAACAATTTGCCAGTGATCTCCAAATAATCATCATCTTGACCTCTAACCATGACAGCACTGAAATCAAGCTTAAAATTCTAAAACCACTGTATAATTATCGGCAGATTAACTTTCTCATCAATGTTATCAGTTTATCATTTTTTTTCCTTCAGACCATCTTCTGAAATCCCAGCTGCTTGAACAGTCTTCAAGAGAGAAACTGGCTCACGGAGGACAGGATAAAAACCCTAGCATATCTAAGGCCAGCATTCAGAGATCAAGAGACTAAATACATTGAACACAATGTATAGGGGGGACAGATGATAAGGGCCTGAATAATGAACTTACTAAAATTAGTGGTTCAAGAAAAGTGAATAGAGCAGTTCAGTATACCCTTCATCTAATACAGAGAAATGTGTCAATATTTCAAGGCCACAAATTCTAGAATGGAAAAAAAAAAGGGGGTTTTTACACAATGTACAATTCGCAGAATTCCTTCCAATTATTAGTATGAAAGCGAGAAAAGATTTTAAAAAGGATGTGATACCTTTGTGAATACATTTCCAGTTGCAAGGAGTAGGGTATGAGAAGAATTACTTATATCAAACTTCCGAGCATAAGCCAAAATTAATTGATGTACTGAGGAAGAAAGTTACTCTTATGGGTAAATTCATGTATAATATTAAAATCCAAATTCCCAACAACCATAGAATAGTTATTTCATTGGGTATTAGTCTTGATCTTTTTAGTGAAAATTAAGACCACTTGCATCGACATCAAGAACAGGGTTATAAAGCCTTAGCTACATCAGTGCTACTTGTTTTCAGTTCAGCATTGCTACTCTACCCTAATTGTGTAAACAGCTTCTGATATTTACCCAGAGGCTCAATGCCCTTGACACATACCAGAGGCATGCCTTCTGAGAACTGAGAGAAATACAGTTCAGCCACTTTATTTCTTTGTGATCTACCTTCCTCAAATTTATTTCATTATCCAGGTCTCAATGTGACTATGTATTTTAAAAGATGAACGATAAACATACCTATTGTTGTGATGACTGTTCCAGCAAAGAAAAAGGCACTTCCGAGGTCCCAATGACTGCTGTTGTTAGAGGAATTTCCTATGGGACTGACTCCTGCATTATCAGCATCAATAGCATGCTGCAAAGAAAGAGACGACAAATCAGCCTTATGCATGCCTTATCATATCCTATGCAAGTCGGTATAGGCTCCAAAGGGAAATTTCTAGGACCATGGGAATAGCTTAGAGTTAAACTTTTTAATACCTGCTCAAAGTATAGTAGCATCCTCTGTACACAAGAGCTAAATATATGACTGAACTAAACAGCTATTAAGGTGGAAGAAAGATAAGATGCACAGACAAATGACAAAAGATACAAAGCAATTGAGAAGTAGAGGACCAACACCACAAAGAGATCCATAAATATCGTTCTTGTAGCAATAATTGCCAAAGGAAAAATTCCCCAATGGGAACAGCTGATGTTAGAAGCAGCAAGAAGGGTGGTAAACACAAATGATGTTCGTGAAGTCAACTGAAGCTAGTCAGCCAAGGATTTTAATTCCCAGACAATTAATAATTGATTGTTACTTATATTTTATGCTAACTAAAGAAAAAACAGGATATATATATCCCATTTGAAATGAACAAATAGGATAGCTATGGAAACATCATGAAACATCTTTGTGATCAGCTAGGACTTCCCAGTTGCCACACTGGACATGATCGCGTGTCCACAAATATAGCATGGTACAGAGACTCCCAGCTAGTGCTTGAATGAACTAAATCCAGAACAGAAGCTGAAGTAGCTGTACTGCTTCCAGGTCACTGTCCTATGTCTCACACAGCACTAAATCAAACCAGGCAGACATATCAGCCTGCTGAATGTTTGCTTGGGAATTTCTAAAAATGCACTATACTGTATCATGGGGACATACACATTTGCCTTTCATTGCAGCTTCACAGTCCAAAGTAAGGTAGAGCTAAATACATCAGCCTCTGTGCTGGTTTTGGCTGGGATAGAGTTAATTTTCTTCTTAGTAGCTAGTATGGGGCTATGTTTTGGATTTGTGCTGAAAACAGTGTTGATAACACAGGAACGTTTTAGTTACTGCTGAGCAGTGCTTACACAGAGTCAAGGCCTCTTCTGCTTCTCACACCACCCCACCAGCGAGCAGGCTGGAGGTGCACAAGAAGTTGGGAGGGGACACAGCTGGGACAGCTGACCCCAACTGACCAAAGGGATATTCCATACCATATGACGTCATGCTCAGCATATAAAGCTGGGGGAAGAAGAAGGAAGTTCGGAGTGATGGCGTTTGTCTTCCCAAGTAACCATTATGCATGATGGAGCCCTGCTTTCCTGGAGATGGCTGAACACCTGCCTGCCGATGGGAAGTAGTGAATGAATTCCTTGGTTCGGTTTGCTTTGCTTGTGCATGCGGCTTTTGCTTTACCTATTAAGCTGCCTTTATCTCAGCCCATGAGTTTTCTCACTTTTACTCTTCCAATTCTCTCCACCATCCCACTGGGGGGGAGTGAGCGAGCAGCTGTGTGGTGCTTAGTTGCCAGCTGGGGTTAAACCACGACAGTCTCCAAAGTAGAGAAATAAATCTCTCATCAGCACCAGGCACATTCAGCTGAATTGCTCTGAGTTCAATTTTGAGATGCCCTTTGGTACATATTCTCTAGTTGATTGTAGATCTCATGCAATCTATTGCCCGTTGTAGAGAAATTCAGTCCTCACTCTGGAACAGCAGCTAAAATGACTGCCTTTCAAAGTAAACCTCTCCTTCCCAAATGTTCCCAACTGAGATTAATTTCCGTAAAACCAATGCAAAGGAATCAAGTTTCTCTCTTTCTGCCTCTTACCATTTTCAGCTCTTTGCCTTTCTCCCATTCTGTTCCAACCTCACTTCATGTTGCTGTTATCATGCTACTAACATTACTGCCAGATCTTCCCCTTCTCTCTCACTCTGATATTTGCTCCTCCTCCTAAATATTGTCACCAGCCTTTAGCCTTGGTTATTTCAGTGAACTTATTGCCAGGCTCAACAGGAGAGGCAAAGTGCTGCCTCTTACATCCTCTCTTTCTTTGACTTTTTTCAACACAGAATTCCCACCTATCAATACAAGTTTGTTTTGACTTTTCTTATTTCATTTCTTTAACCACTTCTCTTTTCCCTCTGACTTATGATCTATGAATTGTCACTGTGACTTTATATTTCACCTTTTTCTATACAGTCCATGTGCAAAGCAAGGTTAACCATTCTATTTTACCATTGCCCCACTTCTCATCTGTTCATGTCTATGATTTCTCTCCTGATCTTCTCTATAACCTCATGTTCTCCTGTGCTTTTAGCACTGACTTTTAAATGCATCTATTTAACACCTCTTCTATCCCTAGCTTTCATGATACACTTTCCTCCTCATTCACCTCTTCCCTCTGATGGTTCATTTATCACATTTTTTCTTTTCTTCCCCTTCCATTTTGCACTGTTCTTCACTCATTTTTTGCCTGTATTTCCAACTGACTTCACCATCACAAATGTTCCTCTACCACATTTTTTTCCTTGGGCTAGTTTCAGCTAATATGCTCTCCAGTTTTTAGTTATTCATCACATTGCCCCACAAAAAGGGAAAGGAGTGGGAGAAGAGGTGCATGGGCAAGAACAGAGGCTAGGTATATCTAAAGAGATCAGTATGGGACAGCCTTTTTTAACCGTAGAGCTGCTATATGCCAGGCTAAGCTGATTGTGAAGTTACAGCATGAGCAAGCTCCAGACTGAACTGGTTGCATTTCATGTGGGCAGAAAGCCAGGGTTCCTCAGCACCTGTCCATACCTCAAGAAACAGGGATATAGAGAAAGGAAGTGTTTAGGACCAAACCCTTTGAAAGGGCTTCTGTCCCAGTTGCTGGCATATTGCGGGCGGTGTGAAAGCAGAGATCATTTGTTTGTTTACCCGGAAGAGCGTAAATCAGCATAACAGACAAGGTTGCCTGTTTAAATAGGCCATGACACACTGTCAGCTACCCTGGCATGTTACTTCTGCCAAGGAATGCTGCTTGCCTTCCCCTTGAGTGTGTGAATGTCAGCGAGCTAATTACAACACTTTAATCACATTTGGTTTACACAGTTTAGCAAGTCTATTAGGGCCAAGCACTAACCCCTGAAGTGAAGGAGTGTCCCGTTGCCTTAGGTAGCTTTGAGTTCCCTTCTGATCCAGAACAAATTCATTTTTTCTTTAAAGCTTGACTGACATCATTCATTTATAAATATCCAACTATTCCAATGCTATCTCTTAATACATAGTATTTTGCATACAGCAATGGAGGACAGAAAGGGATCAGTAAGAGGAGAGCAGCCCTGCAGTTAGCAGCACTTAAATATGCAATTTCAGGTCATGGGATGAGTAAAGGGTGCCTTACTACCACCACCACAAGTCCACCTACGCAGAAGTATCCTGCTGGATGAAGACCGACACAAAACTCAAACAAGGACACTTTCACTGGCAAGACTCTCCCGGTTCACACAGACCATGAAATTTTACAACAGTTTCCCATCTGTGAAACTTCAGATAGGGTTTGCAGCATGACCTGAAAGGCTGCATCCTCAGGTTATCTTGGAGTAGGGAAAGAACCAATTTCCAGAGTGCTAACCACTCTGCTGGCAAACCTTCTGCATTTAAGACATTTTTAAACTAGTAGTTTCAGGTATTTTTATAGTTGAAGTATCATCAAAAGTAACAGGTCATCAAAGTACCCATAGCTGTTTGACACTTACTCCTTTCCTGATCCCTTCTTCCTTCTCAAGAGGAGTTACATGCACAGTGCACAACATTTTTTCAATATTTTTTATGAATTCAAAAAGCATTCTTCTTTAATTAATGATTATTAATCTATGGTAATTTATCTTTGAAATGCCACCCATTCAGGGAAGGCAATAACTTGGAATACCTCAAAGGGCTGAAATTGTCTTTCTTGCTGTTCAAGTAATGGATGTGTCCTAGAGCCGATAGGCAGATAGGAGTGAGGGTAATGACAAAACTACCAAAGTAAATCAAAGTACTCAATATTTTTTTTTTGAACATATATTTCTGATCACAATTTTCAGTTTGGTTCCCTATCATTGTATAGATGTGTATTTTACTCTCGGCCCCTTTGGTGTCAGCACACTATAGTCCCTCTAACCAAAAAGACATGATCTGGTGAATATGCATGGGACTGAAGGCAAACCCCACAGCAAAAGCCCAGCATATGTGGTGATACTGGGACGACTGAATCCTGTATTCCCAAAGAGAGTGCAATCCAGACTCCATCTCAATCTGGAATAGGCTTTATCAATTCCACCTGTTGATATTCAGGCAGCAATATTTAAAGGCTATGAGGCATGGGCTCACCCTGGACTGCCTAGTCATTCACATACAGGACTCAAAGGCCAAAGAAAGGTATAGTGAACACTAACTTGTCTCACTAGATGTCAAGAGTTCCCCCCCACAACATAAGATCGAAACAGTATCTCTTCTCTATTGATAAAATCAGTGATAATCTCCTTATACCAAATAGAAACTACTGGGGTTTCACCGTCCCAGTCCCTGCCCCAGCGACACCGTATAAGCGTCAGGCTCCTGTTCCCCGCAGCCCTGCCCTGCCCAGCCACAGGCTCCGCCGAGCTGGAGCCTGACGTGTGGGCTGATGTCCCGGCCCAGCCTCAGCTCGTCCCCGTCCCCAGGGAGGTGCCTGATAGTCTGGGCTGGGGGATGCCCCTGGCTGCCTCCGGCCAGGGATGGTGGGGGATGCCCCTGGCTGCCTCCGGCCAGCCATGCTCCCTGGCTGGCAGTGGTGGGGTCCACAGCTGCCAGCTCCCTGTCCCCTGGGGTGCAGGTGGTCCTCACTGTGCCCGGATACTCACATATCTGATCCTCCTTGGTGCGTGAGTGAGTACATGCCAGCCTTCACTGATGTATTATGTACTTTGATCACTAATTAAGACAATTATATCAAGAAAAAGTCTAGAGTTATGCTCATAGGCAACAAGATAGCTGGGAGCTGGTGGAGCTGATGAGGAGACAGGAACCAAACAGACTGTTTCTGGTTTCTCTGGGAAGAAAGGCTTTTATCTGGTTCACTTGTTCATGTTTC